CGAACAACAGGAGAGCTGGTGTCCGACGTGACGGCACTGCAGGCGAACATCATTTGCGCAAAGAGAAATTCTCACAAAACTTGTGCTGGTCGACGGCAAAACTACTCGGGAAGCCGCTGAAGTCGCCGGTGTTAACGCGAGTACGGCAAGGAACATCATTAATGCCTACAAGCGAGATGGCTCAAATACACAGCGCACCTGCGGTGGAAACAATAGGGAGAAGCTGACTGCCAATGTATTGCAGCGTGTCGAAGAAGCGGTTGAACGGCACTGTGAGGAGACGTTGGTGCAGCTGCAGATGCGCCTGAAAGAGAATGGGATAAACCTATTAGTATCCTCTGTCTCCAACACCCTCAGAAGACTAAAGATAAATAACAAAAGGTGTCATTACGAGCTCGACCGAGTCAACAGTGCCACGACAATCGCTAGCCGACAGGCGTACGCTCTCGAATTCTCGGAGACCGTCCTGCTCTTACACGCTAAGCCAACTGTTAATATTGAAAACGCACATTTTGAAATTGAAATGGTGTATTAACAAAAGATAAGGCAGTAACCATAGCAAAGATCAGTTGACGAAGGGTTGTCCGGCTGTCGCTTTCGTCAGGTTCATCATTGTATTGAGAACGCAGTTCACGCGTTACCATCCCAACGCTGCCCTGAATGACCGTGCTCAGCGTCTGCTCAGGTGTGGGGTTAATAAGCAGGCGTCTCGCCGACGCTTTCACCTTTGAAAAGACGTGTTCTACCGGGTTTAGCATGTACGAGTAGGGCTGCAAGAACTGTAGGTGATAAGACGAACCAAGGATCCTCCTTAGCTCATCAGGCATATGGATCCTGGCATTGTCCATGATCAGCCACGCGCCGTTCATCTCCACTATGCGGCTTATACGCGCCACCAGTTCCTCGACAAACGCTGAGAACTTCGCACCATTGCTGGTGCCATCGTTAATGAGCTTTGAATGGATGACGCCTTGGTTATTCATTGCAACAATCAAGGTTACCATGCGACCTCTGACTGTGGGTAACACGACGTTCGCGCGCGTCCCTCGTCTTGAGCGAGCCTGAGTTCGCCTCAGATGAAGATTGAAACCACTCTCATCTATGAAGATGCATTTCTCCTTGTTAGAAGGTGCATGTGCCGAGAAATCGAGAGCGTACGCCTGTCGGCTAGCGATTGTCGTGGCACTGTTGACTCGGTCGAGCTCGTAATGACACCTTTTGTTATTTATCTTTAGTCTTCTGAGGGTGTTGGAGACAGAGGATACTAATAGGTTTATCCCATCCTCTTTCAGGCGCATCTGCAGCTGCACCAACGTCTCCTCACAGTGCCGTTCAACCGCTTCTTCGACACGCTGCAATACATTGGCAGTCAGCTTCTCCCTATTGTTTCCACCGCAGGTGCGCTGTGTATTTGAGCCATCTCGCTTGTAGGCATTAATGATGTTCCTTGCCGTACTCGCGTTAACACCGGCGACTTCAGCGGCTTCCCGAGTAGTTTTGCCGTCGACCAGCACAAGTTTTGTGAGAATTTCTCTTTGCGCAAATGATGTTCGCCTGCAGTGCCGTCACGTCGGACACCAGCTCTCCTGTTGTTCGTCACTTATTTTGGTCGTTTCCTGCGGCACGGAGCTAATAAAGCTAAGTTGGGTTGAGTGGAACCATTATCGTATGCTCCGCTCCAATAGTTGTACCGCTGCATAGGTCGGTCCACACACCCAGACAAAACACACGAATTCCTATGGGGGGGTGTAGGGGAAAATAGGTCACCGATTTTGACCGAGGCGAACGGCCCTCATGTCAAAAGAAGGGCTTACACAATCACCCGCTACGTACGCATTTCGGTTACATTATCGTGACCACAATGTGGCCTGAACATCGTGTAATCGGCCCACTCCTCAGTAGTTGCTATGTTGCAACAATAGGCTATAGCTCTAGACTGGTTTTGCTGGGGGTCATTACAGCCTACGCTGATACAATAACGTGGCAGGTGCGAAACCTAATAGAGAAACGGGCGAAGCTGGGACACCGCCTACCTGCTTCATCCGACATGGTCCCATTGACCGAATCGGACAAGGTCCTCTCTAATGAGAATAACGGTGCACATTGAGATTGCGCATCGCAATCCACTCACAAAATGATTGATACACAATTACGATACGGAAGTCCGATTTTCCAACTGTCACACACCTACACAGGTTGATGCGTATGGGCACTGCACACCAACTAGGCGAATGTCAATGAGGAGAGGGGAGCGTAGTTCAGAACTTCGGTCGCTGCTCACGATCAAGCAAATGTTTTACAGTGTAGCCCGCTGCTTACACAATGCCGGTGTATTAGCGCCATCACAATGTATATGCTGAACATCATTCAGCAGTCTTACTGCTCGTTTCTTACCAACAAATTGGCCAGTTGCTACTTAGATTGCAACGTGTCCTATTTGTTTTGCAAAATGTCCAGTTTGGTTTGCAAAATGTCCAGTTTGGTTTGCAAAATGTCCAATGTGGTTTGCAAAATGTCCAATGGGGTTTGCAAAATGTCCAATTTGGTTTGCAAAATGTACAGTTTGGTTTGCAAAATGTCCAGTTTGGTTTGCAAAATGTCCACTTTGGTTTGCAAAATGTCCCGTTTGGTTTGAAAAATATCCAGTTTAAAGTGAAAATGGTATATTTTCCTTGTTTACTGCCCTCCGAATTGCCTCCGAATTGCCTTCCTTGTACGGAATTTCTACCGTCCCTATCCACTCGGCTGTGGGTCTCGACTGCCGGTGTAGCACCTTATGCAATTGACGTTTTACTAGTCGCCGTGGGTAACCGCTTTCTAATAGTTTGCTCATTGCTACGTTCCGCGCAGCCCTTTTGTCCTCCTCCCTCGTGCACAAGATTTGTGCCCTGTAGAACAGCGCTGAGGATATCCCAGCGTAAACCTGTTTCGGATGACCCGATGTGTAGTGTAGTACGCCGTCAGTATCCGTTGACTTGCGATATATTGTCTTTAAATTTCCCCCATTCCTGTGAACCAGGCAGTCAAGAAATGGTATTGTATCGCTACAAGATTCCAACTCAATAGTAAACTGTATTCTCTCACCAATGGAGTTTAAGTGATAAAGCAAATCGTCCTTCTTATCCCGTTTACCAAGTACAAAGATGTCGTCTACATAACGCCACCAAAATTTTTGGTGAGTTAATGGTGTTTGTTAACGCCCTGTTCTCGAAGTCTTCCATACACAGGTTCACCAGTACAGGGGATATTGGCGATTCCATGGCGAGACCTTGTTCCTGACTGTACAGCTACGACTGAAAAACGAAGTAAGACATGTTAAGACACACTGTCATGCCCTTGATTATCTGGTTAAGTGTTAGTTTCGTCCGATCATTCAGTGACGTCTTCATTTAGACAACGTCTTGCAAAATATCAGCACGATTAGATCCGAATATATCCGATCAGTGATTTTTCCATTGCGTGGTAACATTCCAGGTGCACGCTTCCCGTGAATGAGTTAACCAGTACTAATTGGAAGGTAACTAAACCAGTTGAATGGGATAGTTATAAATTATCGCCTCTAGGTTCCCTCAGACAGCAATCCCACGCTGGTAACGCATTGTTCAGCCGAACCATCTCTTTAGGAATCGTCAGTAGTGCGCCCTCCATCTGACACTTGGAAGGCGCGAACCTGCAACTCGACTGTTGCCGGTCCGTGGTTGAGACCACTGAGCTACGGGGGAAAGTAACGATCGTCGTGAGTGTCACTAGATGTGGTATAGCGCAGTTCGCCCTTCACTGATAAATTTCTACCTATTTTATTCAACTCCGCTTACTACTCCTTTGTACAACCTTTAAGCGGGCCACCTCAGCCGTAAATTGTCTAGGAATTTACCTATTCAGAGTGTGAGTAACGCATTTTGTCAACTGTATTGCCAGCTCAATAATCTGTTTTATCCCATCACTCACGACATTAACCGGTGAAACATCAGGTTATAAAACTAACGTTTCCTTATGCATATAAATTAAAAAGATGCGTACAAGCAGTGGCTGATACATACTAAAAATTGACAATGTGCTGAAAATGTGCAACTGATGGGTCGTTTGCGCTGACTTTAAAATAGATCTAATTGTTAGACCAAACAACTTGGGAGAACACAGTAAATAAATCTCACACTCCATTCCTCTCTCTGCATACAAAAAGCGAAGCATTAATCATCGTATACACTTTTTCTGCTCCTATTATTTTGTCCGAAGAAATGGATCCGTGAAACCGCTAAACTCCACGCTATCGCTTGAGGCACAGAAAGATGTTAAACTAACATGTGCAGCTGTAAACCAGATGACAATATCTTGTTTCACATAGATGCTACAGCGTTACTACTGCGTACTAACACGTCTCACGTTTATACAAAGGTCTGATGTTTTTACGACAATACACGCTTGATATACCTACGGCGATAACAGTGTCTATGACCAGCCACAAGATTATCTCAACGAAACAAGAGTTGTACTCGTATATTGAGCTCTGCGCCATTAATTCCCATTTCACTACTGGATACAGGGGCGAATTAAGAGATATCGCGGCCTCTGTGACTGGTGATCAAACACGCTATCATCCAATGTAAAAAGACCACTTGTTAACTACACTAATGTTTACCTTTATTATGTATAGAGGTAATCTGACAAACGCAATGTGATCCGTTGTTTTGCTCCGATCTGGGAGTGTCTCATTCCAAGAGTGCAACTGCCGTTGAAATCGATTAGACCATGCTCGATTGTAAAGGTCCATGATATAGAAAGTTATGAAACCACAATTTAGTTCACAAGAGAAAGCTTTTAGGTGGAGATCTCATCTAATGCACTTAGATGTTAGGTAACGACAGCTTTTATGCCCATGGTGGCAGTCCATTCATAACTGAATGTCCGAGGTGATCATCAAATCTGTTGAGGAAACGAGTGCGCCCTAATCATGACAGGTGATGCAAAACAATGGTACTTGGTCCGGCAAACCGACTTACTTCGTTCACCGAACCTAAACTCTCAGAAGGTCTAAGTACTTGGTCTTTGACAAATCCTTTTACATTTTTTATTCCAGGTTTCTCTTCCTCAGTGGGGCCCGAACCAAGTACTCCTGAATTAGCCAGTTCATGTGTGAAGCCAAACTGGGCTCTTCCGTGATAGTTAGCAGCAGTGATGGGTTGACGGCTAGGTGACCATCCGGCTGAGAGTTGGTTGCGGCCAACTCGAATTCCGGAATCGGCTGGACTACTTTTCCGCCGGTATCGCCCGACGTTGATAGTTTCATTTCCAGCTGAATCCTCGTCATCCTCGTCATCCTCGTCGTCATCGTCATCATCGTCGTCATCTTCAAGGTTTTCATCTTCGTCTTGAACATCAATGAGATCCTCTTGGCTACCGTCGATGTGGATCGTTTTGGACGGTTCTTCTTTTTTCTGCATCCGGTATTGAGCAGAAACGCTTCTTCCGGAGTCGTCATTTTCATGGGCACGCACGTCAACCTCGTCACCAGAACTTTTCTTTCGGAAACAAAGTAAAGCATATAAATGTTGTATTACCCAATAAAGTAAATTGTTGGGAACCGAAGTATGCTTATTTACATGGGAACGCCGGTAGGAAGAGAACATTTCGTTCTACACTTGAAATGAATGCGTTTGTCAATTTACACGAATAAACATATGCAGAGCCAGAAGGCCGGTGACGTCTTGGACTCGGTTACTATCGGCGCACGTAAGTTTAGTTTAGCTGAAAAAGACGACATACACATGCCCTCCAATGCAGTCCTACTGCAAAGCTGTCTGGGCGCAAGGCTTCTCAGTGCATTGTTAGGCAGCGCGTTATGAATCAATAGCACGTGTTCAAGAAAAGAAAGGACGAAAGTCTAATTCAGTCAGTGCTAGCCGTCTCCATATTTGCCGGTAAACGTGTTGCATGTGAGCTGGTCACAGGAAGGCTGCGCCTCCAGAGACACCATAGGAGACCTGAACTACACCATGGCTCCACACACACATATCCACAAGCGGCGTCCATTGTAAACCCGGAAAACTGACGAGTACACAGAGGAGTCCTCAAAAATTGGTAGAATTCAGGAGTCATTTATCAGAAACTGAACCCATATAATTTATTTTATGAAAGCATCTAATGTTGTGTGTCATGCAGTTTTGCTGCTCGAATTTGTGCTAACTAGTGCATTTCTCCTTAATTCTTCCAACAGTCAACTGCATCAAGTAGTCATCGGTTAATCAATGTCGTGTTTCTTACCATAGTTTGTTTCGCCGGTTCCATTTGCTTTTTGTCAGCATCACCCATGTCATACTCTTGCGTCAAGCCTGAGGCACGAATAAGTTCTTCGTACTGATTCTCTAGGAATGCCAAATTACGGAATCGAGTGATGTAAGAGGAGTAGATGGAGGACAGTTCTTCCTCCAATTGCTCGTATTCTTCCATATACGCGGGTCTGACTGATTGTAGAGTGAGAAGTCTCTTCCGGTTTCGTTCCAGTTCGCGTTGTTTCTTCTCTATCTTACTGTCTAAATTTGCCTCATCCTCAGCCAGGCTAGCGATAGAGGCTTTGGTTCGCTCCATTTGTGCTTGCAATGCATCACGTGCTGCAGTAACGCACTGTTCCACCCAGGTACTGTCAAGCTGGCGCCCGATTGCATTGTTCCGAAGCTCCCGTAGGTGTGCCTCGCGGCCTAGGAGGGAATGAAGTGAAGCCCCAGACGACGCAAGTTGACTGGAAAGGCTACGGCCTTCTTGTAGCTCTTTTCTCTGTGTTGGGCATAGAAAAATGTTTCTGTTATGCCATAATCAGCCAATGTTCCACACTGATTGGATCGGTTAAACGTGACTTCCTTGTAGCCAGCAAAATCGGCAGCAATTTTAATCAATCTCTGATAAATGAACTAGTCAACGTTAGTGAATGAAGGTAATTGGCTCTTAGTTTACTAATTGTATGACCTGCGGTATTGAACGGGTAAGTGGGAAGCCATATAAGCCTGTACTTCACAAAAGAACCGTTCAGCAGGCAATCGACCACTGTGGCCAGGTTAAAATTGTGCTCAATTTTGAAGGATCTAAGTGCAAATCCTCCACCCAGACCTAACTTAAAGGTGAACAATATAGTTTTATTTAAAAATCCTGGGCCTGGATTGCTCTAGGGCACAGAAGGGTGGGGTTGTAATCAAAATCGGAAGTGTTAACATAACGAATCTCTTGGATAAGTTGTTTGTCCACAATCAATATCATTTTACTTGGTTAGAAGCGTTATGTGTATGCATTCAAGGTTAACTACTCTTGGCCTACATTGTCGTCGTTATTTCGTCTTGATTCGCTTTCAACACTGTACCTCATCAAAGAGGCTCCATCAGATGTGAGTGAAGGGAAAACGGAAGTCGTTTTCCTAACTTATGGCACGAAAGGAGCAAGTTGCTGTTTTCAAGCATAGGCTCCCAATCGAACGATAGCTACTTTCATCGCAATGTAACATGGCAACAAACGCATCGCATTAACAGCTAATTTCAGTGAGTCCAACTCACTTTCGACGAGTCTATCAGTTCTGCTGTGCACAGTTCAGTATTCTCCGTAACATCTTTATGCTGTTGCTTAGCAAATGCAGAATACAGTACTTTGATGACCTTCAACAGTTCTTTCACTGCAAACCCATTGGCCTGATAAAGTTTCTTCGCGTTTAGTCGAATACATGCCTTCGTTGCTAAAAAGTGCACAACCACCTTTATGAATATCACCCGATCTTGCTCCGTGTCCAGGCACTTCGGGATATCTGCGTTTGGATCGTAACGCAATACCAGCCAGGTTAGGATTTCCGCCACCAACGGGAAGTTGGGCGTCCGGAAATTTTCCATTGATATAATTCTACTAAATCCCAGTGACCTCATCGCCTCCGTGAAAGTTCTCATTTCTCTATACGACATGGTGGAAACGCTTAAATAGCTGTAAAGAAGGAGGGGGATTAGACCAACAGGACGCCAATCTGTTTCATGCTTACTCATATGTCTTGTCCACGAATATATGGAATCAATTTAATACATGAGCAAGATGAACACTTTTGGTTCCAGTAAAAGGACCCTGTGTTTTACCAGTTAAGGTACACTTGTGTTAGACTTTAGAATTATTCCTTGTGTGAATACACGGAAGACAAGTTTATCCATTTGTAAACTCTTTCCTGTTGAAAGTTGGTGAGAGCAGCCGTCGTATTTATTGTGAGTGTTCTCTACGCAGTGAGATATCTTCCAAGGTGAGCTGCCATTTACTTGATTCCTAACCTTTGCTCCCGGTTACTAATGAATGTGGACTTGAGAAGAACCTGTGATTTACACAACGCCAGCCACCACCAGTCCCTCAGTTAGTGTAATTATTCGGTGGCTGTTCACGTTGCAATGAATAACGAGTGCTGAAACGACAGCCCCCAATTGCTGGGTTTTACCTAGTGTATTTTCTGACAGATAATGAATCCAACAGTTCAGTTTTACTTAGTAGGTAACCTTTCCTTTAACTCTAAAGACACAGATTATATCAGCTGAGCCTAATTTACCCACTTGAAAGTGATCGATTGAGCCCAGAATCAGATAAATCAAGTCGGGCTTAATTAGAGTGTATCCTAGTCAGAGGAAATGTGAAATGTCTAGCTAGACACGACTGGATCAAATCATGGTTGATCAATCGGTCTTCCACTCTTCGAAGGGGATACAGCATGGTTGGAAGGTTCGCAACACCCTATGCAAGCCCTTTTCATCATTCAAATTTGGCCAGAGAAAACCCATACGTTGATTTACCTGATAGTCCTTTTACGCAACCAAGTAAATGGTGTCGCTACGCAACGGGACATCCACAACTGCTTATCAGCACCATAGTGACAATGAGTTAACGGCTATTGACAGAATGGAATTTATAGGAGACGGTATGCATGCGGGCGTCAGTGGCGTAGCAACTACTTTTGCTGTCATGGACAAACATAAAATTGCCGTCACCCTGGAAGTTGTAGATCCGTAAACCCCCACAATGGCAAACAGGCCTTAAATATTTCGTTTCAAATAACCTCACAGATCCAATTTTAGAGTGCTGCTTTAATGCAAGTATTTAAGCTGTTACAAAACTCGTGTACAAAATTTACCGATACACTTTTCGTGCATTACTTGATAACACTAATGAAATTCTGTTCATTGGCAAGTTCCTTTGTATGGGTAGAACTGCTAATCCATGAAACTTATCTGATCGATTGATGATTGAAGGTAGTTAGTTAAATTTTTGCGTCCTGAGAACGTGCGCTCTCACAGCTGGCTGTGCTAATGATTCGAGTAAGAAAGATGCGCAACAGATATCCGAAAGTGATATGTCTAAACGAAGCTCAAAAGTTGAGAAGGCACAATATTTTTGTGGTTTCTGAAGTTTTCACAAAATGCTGTGGTATTTTTCTTTCGGCAAAGAATGCTGCTGTTTTGTAGCTTCCTCCATTTCCGTAGGCGGATGACCATAGTTACCATCAAGCAGCATTGATAACGTAAGAAAAACAAATTTGTTTGAAAAAGCAGGCAGTTGCTAAATCTATGGCATTTCACTAGACAAACTGTCTATGACAGACAGCATCTCTGCTGTGTTAACTCAGCATCAAGTCACATCGATGCATCAAACAATCCTCCAACACATATTCGTTTATTTTGGCGGATTCTACGTTTCAAGCTTGTCCCTTATTCAACGTGGTGTCTTTTGGATTCATCTATTGCGATGTGCACCATTTGCTCTCCCTTCTGAATAAGTTCAACTGGTAACATTGCAAGCTTGACAAAACCTTGCCACAGATCCAGCCCTTTTGTTTAGACGTATCTGTGCATCCTTGATTTCTATGGGAACAGATCTCCAAGGGCTCAGAAACAAAACGGAAACGGTAAGATCGAGATGTGACTTAAAGATACATCTGATCCTGTGGTTGCTTTTTTTCTTTATTCTGTGGAGTGTTTCGAAGCTGATGAATTCCGTGTGTTTCTTCATCCCAACGTTTACAACGCCTGTTCGACTACTCCATCTAGATTTTGCAGCCGTTTGATACTTAGACCGCTGACTTGAAACAAGACATTGTAGCAAGGTTCAGGTGCAAAAAGAGAATATCCGGTCCATCATACCCAAAGAGTAACAGAATGAACGGTCGCAGAAGCTGCATGAACTCAAGCCAGATTCAGGAATTAGTCAGTGCATGGCACAAATGTAGCTTTGGGTTGCTTTCGTAGAGGTCTAGACACATCAGATTGGTAGCCCGCCGCAACAGCAGTATTGTCAAGTGTCTGACCACGACAGTCATCAAACTGAAATAAATTCTTTTTTGGGTCTGTCAATATCCATCTAGCATTTTACTCTGTTCTTCCTGTTGATAATGTGGTTGAGAATTGAATCCTCCACCCTCACTTCATTTTCATTCATCTGCTTTTTGTGGGATACATCTGGAGTGCTGTTAAAAAACAAACCTACTTGATTTCCTTGACCTGACCCACAATTTGCTTTCTCATCTGCTTCATCCAAATGTTCGCTAATTCATTTTGAACGTGTGGCGACCAAGAAAAAGTGTTGATTTTCCTCCCCCGTTCGCGAAGATGGTGTTCATAATTGGACACCAAATGCATAACCGATGATAAATTCACTCTAATTTTCTTGGCCTTCTATGTCATATAGGATGTCTTCTCCGTGGCCGCGCAGTACCATATTTTGCTTGGCGAGAAGCCTGATGATATCAACTAATCTAGCTTACATTTTACGCCAACATTTTACTACAACTACGTGCTCCATTTTGTCAAGTGCCCTTCCTTCAACTATCTGGAGCGCTACCTCTTTGCGGTTGAGGAATGACTGAGGAAGCGAAATCCATCGCAATGAGGCTGGACCTTACCGTGGTGCGATGGTTGTGTCTGCCTCAGCGATCCATTGAGCTATGTTGGGTGGTGCTTTTTTTGCACCTTCAGAGTCACTCATACCAGATTGGTAAATGGTTAGAAACCAGAGAAACTCAGCCTCCTGGTCCTCCAGGTTGGAATGAGGACGGCTCCTTATTCCTCAAAACGGACTCCTTGTAGCCCAATGCCAAACCCGCTGCCTTGCGGTCAGGTTTTTGAATCAAAGGCTTTGCTTGAGAACCCTAATCGTTCTCCTGTCTAGGCCTGGGCAAACTGACAGTATCCTAACCACGTAATACAATGAATTTCTCTTCAAACAGTTTCTTAATGCTCTGGCCACCGCAGAGGATAATCAGCGGTGCCCTATGTGCTGCATGGAGCAGGGTGCATAGGGTTTGGATGCTATTGCCAAAGCTTTCCTATCTTTTTATTCCCCCTCTTACGCTTTTTCTCTTACTGTTCCGTTTCAGCTTCACTTTTATCCCCTGTTTTCAACCCCCCATTTCTTGGCCCCCACCCTGCTTTGCTGGGCTTTTACCTTCTAGCTTCAACTCACATGTGAACGCGGAGCGTCATTCCCGTCCTGTCGACAAGCTCATGTCCAACCAAGCGATCAAGCCCAGGTCATCGACTTCCATCTGGAGCCCTTGATCATCCTTCAGATTGGTATGCCTCAATGTACGCACATTGCTCCAGATTGGTCAACAGGCAGCACTTGCCCGAACATTAGAGACCCTCTCGAGCGATATTTGCTGCTTATCGGAGAGCCGCCTGCAAGACTCGAGCTCTGTGCTCACTTTACGATCATCTTCAAGTGACACCAGCAGCACTTTCTCATTGCGCCTATCCGGTGACCATGCAGCTTCGAGCACCGGCCAAGCCGGTGTTGGTATTTCCTTGAGTCCCCAGGCTGAAGCTGCTCTGGTTGGCTGCATTCCAATCAGTAGCCGGTTGTGTGCGGTCCGATTGGCTGGCTCGTTCAAAATTCGAAGTCGCCGGAGGCTAGCAGGTGTCTGTTTATCATCGCTGCCTATGCACCCACAAACTCTAGTGATGATTCGGTAAAGGACGAGTTCTATCGCCAACTGAACGGGCTCCTTCGCCATAGAAAAAGCTCGCACACTGTAGTGTCGGCTGGGAATCTGAACGTACAAGTTGGAAAATTATCCACCGATGAACTGCATCTTAGCGGCCAACATGGTGTAGGCTCCCGTAATGATAAAGGTAAGCCGTTACTTTATTTGTGTGAGGATGCCCGCTTATTTCTTGCGAGCACTAATTTCCGACAGCACGGTGGGTAACTTGGTGTCCACCAGCCTCGAACCAGCTATGGACACAAATAGATCACATTGCGATAAGTTGCCGCTGGAGTGGTTGCATCCTGAACTGTCGCTCGGTTTGGAGCATTTGTGTGGAAACCGACCATGCACTTGTGTGTGCTGACATGCGGACGCTCAAGATGACGTTGTGAGCGCAATGATAGCAGCCAACTGGCGAAACCAGCTGTTAGGAATGCCTACCAAACTACGCTGTCATGCGAGTTGCGTAAGCGCTCACTGGATGCAGTTGAAGCCCATTGGTCTCATATTCACCAGACCTTAATTGCAACAAGAAATTCCTTATGTGGTAAGTCTAATCGCTAACATGGACATTGAGTCTCTTCGCAGTCTCTTGAACTTAGCGATGCTCACCGGCATATTCCGGCAGGAAGCGAGCACAATGGAACTCGCAAAGAGCTCCGGGCGAAACTCCGTGCTAGCCTGAAGAGAGACGGCGAGAATCCTGGTGGTCTCTTCGTGCGTCAGATGGAAATTGCCGCTGCCCTTTGTAACCATCGTAAGTTATTCCGGTTCATACGGGAAAAGGGCAGCAGAAAACCTGGTGTTAGTAAAACTATACGTGACGAGAGTGAACAGCCTATTTACAACTTGTCAAAACGTTTGGAGCATTAGGCTGAGCACTTTAAAAGGCTACTGAATCGGCCGGAATTGTTAGCGTTCTCGACGGCCACTGATCGCCCCGCTCCGTGGGCTGTCCCTTTGGATCCACTCT